CACATTCACATGAAAATTACTCTGAATTAAAAACACTGTAGTTTTTACAATTTCATATTTAAAGTACTTTCAGAAGTTTCAATTCTGAATATGACCGGACTTTTCCTTTGAATGTGACTTTCTTATAAACTTATTAAACTATGATATTAGGAAAAAACAATCATGAAATTGAGGATTAAAATTAGCATATTAAAGGGTAAATATAATATAACAGATGTTTTATATATTTAAGCTCAGCTTTTACTATTTTTTTAAGATTCTTCTCACGTTTTTTTAGTTTCTTTGACTTTTAGTTACTTTTTTTTGTTTTTACGCCACTAGTGGCTTGTTTTTTCTACAGTAGGCTGACAGGAAATGAGTAAGAGAGAGGGGACCAAAGGTCAGATTCGAACCCGGGTTGGCCGCGTTGAAGCTAAGGCCTCTGTACATGGGTCGTGCACGCTAACCACTACACCACCTGCACACCCGGTTATTTGAATATCACCAAAAAGCAGATAAGCTCCTCAAAGCAAAACAGGAAAGAGCCCATGCTGTGCTGCTCAGAGTTTCATCTACTCTTCACACTCTGACCCTGTGATTTGATCATCTCTGCATGGAGACTGATAACCCCCCAGGTTTGATAATATATTTCACACATTTCCATAGTTATGGAAATGAAATTCTCTCTATGTCCACAAATACGCTTTGGCATTTTCTGCCCTTTTCGTTCTTTCATTTCGGGGCTCTGTGTTTGGAGCAGCGCTGTCGTAAAGGACATGGCTAAATACCGGCCCTGTAATTAGAATATTGGTCAGGAAACAAATTGCATATTTCCTCCATACCTGCAAACTTTTTCCCCCCCAGTTTGATGTAGAAACTTTCTAGAGTGACATTTAGACGCTAAATCCTTTTTGTCTGGATTCAGGCTGCTCATATGAGCAGGTGCAGCAGAACAATGTTATTGCTGCTTGGTGCACCTCTGGTTTCCCTGCAGTGAGAGAACAGGGCGTGTTTGATGAGCATTCCTGAAGCTGTTTTTTCCTCTTTCAGAAAGATGCAAGTGCTTTCTCTGATAGATTATTAACACGTTTTGCATTTGCCCTCCGCCAAACTCCTGGCTTCCCACATCAATCTTCTCTGCAGCACTCCTCTCCTCAGGGAAGCAGCCTCCTCTCACCTCAATTCTGAATTCAATAAGATCTCTGTTCCTGTATTAAATCCTGACTCCTAGGTCACCTGTTGGGAATTTCCCAGGCAGCAGGGTAACCCAGTCTTTGTTGAAAAGGTAGTTTACTGTTCACTTTGAAAAAAAGAAAGGACTTGGACTCTCTGACATGTGAAATGATCTCTGAAGAAGCTCTTGTGCGGCGTGGAGCAGACTGAAGCTGTCTGAATGCTTTTTGACTGTTTCTGTGTGTCCGGCTGTGAGAGAAAAGCTGCTGTGTGTCTCATGTATCTGTGTATGAACAGACTGCCCCCTGCTGTTTAGGAAGAAAATAAAATCATTTAGTAATGTGGCTGCAGGTTAGCCAGTTTATTAAAGTCTGAATGCCTGTTTCTCCTAAGCAGGTTTAATAGGAGCCTCCTGGGAGGTATCCTGATCAGGTCCATTAACTGCCTGATCTAGTTCCTTAATTTGGGAAGAAAAACAAGGGATTCATGGCCAAGCACCTTTTAGAGCATCGCTTCCCAAAATGGGAAAGCAATGGGTTGCAGAAGGATTTTAAAACTCCTCATGATGTCACCTCTGAGGAGAATCATGGCCTTTGGAGATAAAATCTATATAGAGTACTGGAGGTTCTGGTTTTATAAATTTTATGATAAAAAAATATTTGGAAAGGTGTCTTCTTCCTTAAACTTTTAAATTAAATTGTTTGTTTATTTTGATTTAAGTCTTTAAAAGAACAAAATCTGCACATAACTTTAAATTTTTCTCTGTCTTTATTTCATAGTTTTAAATATCAGTTTTTATGATGACTTGCTCTGTACTTAAGTAGCATTTTCAATCTTGAGTAATTTTTTTTGGATGGCTACTATTTACTCTTGTTTAAAAGTAAGCAGGATTACTCATACTCGAGTAAAATCTTTGGGTCCTTTACCCACTTCAGTTTGGAGGAAGGTCATTTTGACCTCTTCCATGTGTGACCTCAATCACTATCACCCATTTAAGCTGGTATATTTTTAGGACTTGTTGTTTTTAAGATGTATTGGGGATTAAAGTTTAATCTGCCTGTTTTTTAGACCTATCATAGGATCGTTTTTAAGGCTGTTGGAAAAATCTCAGTATCATTAGTCCACAGCAGTAGACTAATACTGAAATTACTTAATTATTTAATTTTTTTCAATCTGTGTTTAAACTCTAAGAAGCATCCAAACTCCTAGCAGAAACTTTACACATAGCTGAAAATATTCAATTACTTGACTCCATTGGACACATTTGAAAAGAAATGCTTTAAATGTGTTTGCAGCTTCAGCAGCTTCAGACATTTAAGAGGAGTTATCTACAACATTTAGATCTATGTTTTGGTCATTTCTTCCCTAAACCTCCCAGTAGAGAGTTTGTTTTGTCCAGACACTGATGCTCCATTCAATCAAAAGGTGTTCCTTTGAGGTAAGGTCAGGACTCTACAACCATTACAGTTCTGTAATGCCAAAACCTTTAACAAAGATTGGAGGATAAATTCATCCAAATCTTCCTTCAATGAAACCAAAAAAAATGTCACATTCAATTCAATTCAGTTTATTTCTATAGTGCCAATTCACAACATGTCACCTCAAAGCACTTTACAGTTCAAACAGATCATACAGTCAAATTTTGTATCTAAGGAAAAGCAGTTGATTGCATTAACTCATTGTTTCAAAGGCAATCCCTCACACTAAGCATGCTTGTAGCGACAGTGGAGAGGAAAAATTCCCTATTAACAGGAAGAAACCTCCAGGAGAACCAGGCTGAGTGTGAGCGGCCATCTGCTGAGGCCGAGTGGGGTTCAAGGAGACAGAAGCAGTGATACAAAAGGCAACTGTAAAAGGAACTGTACAGGAAACAGAGGATAAAGAGCACATCCAGTTAGTCACAATCAGAGAAACAGGACTACACTGAAAAACAGGCCGATCTCTAAACAAAGGTTATACAACACAAATGGTTGAACTATATTTACATGCTGTGATGTAACGCCTGAAACCTCAGGGTATTTTATTCAGACTTTGTGACAGGAAAACACAAAGTAGTGCTGAATTAATGAGTGGACATACAATTGTGAATGATTTTCATAGTAATGGCCTGAGTTGCTGACCTTTCGACTCTATCGACTCATTGACTCGAAGTCATTCCTTCACAAGCATGCTTATAGCGACAGTGGAGAGGAAAAACTCCCTTTTAACAGGAAGAAACCTCTAGGACAGTGGTCACCAACCATTTCAAGGCTGAGGTCTACTTCATGGCTATTGAATCATAGGAAGGGCTACCAATGCTGACCTATGAACAAGAGCGGTCAGCGTTCACCTAAACTTCATCCAAATTAAACACATTTTTATTGTTAACTTTTAATTCTAATTTTACTTTAAACATCACAATTTTAAAATCTCTATAAATGCTAAAATGCCCTATATGATTACTATGATGAAATGCGCTATAAATGATTAAAAAGAAGAGTCACAGAATAAAATAAAATTTCAAACTTAGCCCACTGCTGAGTTGCTGTTTTCAGAAGGCGTTGAGGGCACCCCATGTGGTCCTTGAGGGCCCCTTGGTGCCCGCAGGCACCGCGTTGGCGACCCCTGCTCTAAGAGAACCAGGCTCAGATGCCATCTGCTGAGGCTGACTGGGGTTCAAGGAGATTTGCTTATGCTTTTACATGAGAACTATCTCAGGGAATCGCAAAATGATCTCGCAGGTTGGCGGCAATAAAGGGAAAAGTTTAAGGATATGCATGATTCTGCAAGGCTGTAGGAATACTTAAACATGAGCATTCAGTGCAGATCTGCTGTCTATTTATCATCTCTGTGTCAGTGGTAGTTTGAATACTTAGTAAACAAAGTACCAAATAACCTTAAAACACCTGTTAGGCTCCATCTTTGTTGTTCCTCAGAAGGCTTTCTTTTTTCTTTTTTTAAATAAGAGAAAATCTGTGTGGATCCTTCTGTCAGCTCTGATGCGTCACATCTCCTCTGGAAACCAGAAACATATTTTGATTAAAGAGAAATGACGCATTCTGACTGGATCAAGTCAGGGCTTTGTGGCGTTTTTTTTCAGAGCTGCTGGTGTGACTTCTTTGTTTTATGGCTGAGCTGCATTGTCAACCTGTTTGTTCTACATGTTTTGCTCTGCAACAGTTTTATGAAGCACTCCTGAATCACACAGCAGCAGATTATTCCTTCCTCTCAGCAGGAAAACAAATAAAACACAAATTCTGCCAGTGAGCAACATCAAAATGCCGAGATCGGCCTCATGAAATTTAAATGAAGCGGTAATAACACTTTGTTTCCTCTTTCTCTCCCTCCCTGCCATCTTTTCACCGATACAAGAAGAGAAACGAGAACCTGTTCCGGAGCCTCAGACGGGCGCCGTGGTGGGAGGCGTCCTTGGAACCCTCATTTTAATCGGCGTCATCATCGGCATCGTCTTCCTCATCCGAAAGTTCCAGCGGGACACAGAGTGAGTCTTCATTACTAATTCTGCATCTACTCAAACATTAGTTTAACCTCTTGAGCAAATTTAATCCCCCCTTCTGGGACGGCAGCTCATTAAAACTTATCACACGTCATTAAAGGATCCGGCAGTGGTGGCTCACTTACAAATCCTGACCTGAAGTTTATATCACGAGGCCGTTCCGAGGCTTCCATTTATCCTCCCATGGGCTGCAGCTGCGAAAGAAGATTTATGAAACCTCCTGGGCTTTTACTCCACTCTTTAGATGCAGTTTTCCAAACTAAGGCTTTATGTAGATCATCAGGGTCTGTTAAAAATGAGCAAGTATGTGGGAGCTACAACACAACATGGATGAATCTAAAGAAAATAGTACAGCATCAACAATCAATTGGCGTCTGCAGAAGACGAATATTGAGTGGCTGTTCAGACCGTAAATCAAAACAAACAAAAGGAATAATTTACTAATATCTCAAATCTAGTTGGTTAAAAACCCTGCAGAGGATGAAGCGAACAGCAAGGCAAGGCAAGGCAAGGCAAATTTATTTGTATAGCACAATTCAGTACAAAGACAATGCAAAGTGCTTTACATGATTAAAATACAGGAAGATAAAACAGAATCAAAGCAGGAAAAAAGAAAAAAGAAAAAAAAATGCAGAAACAAAAAAGAATACTAAAAACAGTTGGGTTAGCATTTGATCAAAAATTTCTCCTTGGGCAGTTGACAATTCCCCAGAACCTTGCCTTTTTTTTCTACTACGATAGAACTGCAAAACCTTTCCCATTATCTACAGGTAATTTAACTCTGCCCGATACACACCAATCCTCTGGTGCCAACCTGGATAACTGGGGGGGATCCCACTCTAGATTACCGACGTCTCAGTAAAATTAAATACCTTCTGGTGCCACCTACAACCTTCCTCTCAGGTCTTAGAGAGAGCCTCACGTTCCTATGCGAGGTCTTTTGGTTCACAGGTGAAAAAAAAAAAAAAAACCTGAATTGCATTTCTGCTCCCAAAAAGAAAAGTTATCTTTTATTTTGTATGTATATTCTTTATTATTATACTAATGGTAATGCTTTTGAAATGATTAATTTAAAGAAAATATGTTTTAGTTGAACAGCAGTACGTTTTTAAAAAGTTGTATTAGAGGTGACAAAAGTCCGGAAGAGTTATTCAATCTAAAGAAACCACCGGGGAAAATAAATAAGTCCAGTCAGTGAAGTAGCTGACTTTAAAACGGAACGACCTTCCAGTAAAATGATTGTGTAGGCAAATAATGAACAGCTCAGTCTGAGTTCAGCCGTACAGTTTGGCCAACAGATTTTAAATGCTTGGCTTAAACGATTTCTTTTCCCTTCTATCGAGCAGGAAATAACTGTTAATGGGGACGTAAATAAACTGTAAATGGGGACGTAAATAAGAGCAGGCTGGGTAGAGAGGAGGCTCTAAGCTCGCAGAGCTGCAAGGCATGGTTTGGAGAATGAGGACGGGTGTGTTTCCTGCAGCCGTAAACTTTGTAACAGAGCCTTCTGTGTTTACAATCCCACCAGATTATTTATTTAGCATATAGAGGAAGGTTATTTTAGTCTGCTAATAAAGTGGTTACCTAAAAAGATGAAATCCCTATCAGTTGCATGTATTATAACCTTGTTGCCATAGATGTGTTCTAGCAGAACAGTTCTGACCAATGCAGTTGATCCAAGAATCATCAAACTCTCAATGAGCTTTAAATCGTAGGGAAATCACATTTAAATGTCAAATCACTCTGGCTTAAACATCTATAATTGTAATCTGTATCAGACTATATTGTCCCAAAATTTAGAAAATTTCTATTTAAAAAAAAATCCTGTTTTAAAACCTGTGGGGTTTTTTCGTTATCTTCTGCAGGCCAGTTAGTTATACGTCAGCTTGTACACCTAAATTCGGCCAATCATATAATCATATAATCTTCCGCCACAACAATCGATCAACGGCCAATCACATTTACTTTATTCTCTTGTGTAAAGGCGTGCACCACTCGGGAGAATTTGGAAATTAAACGGTTGGAACAGCCGCTTCCCTCCGACTTTAAGTAGTTATTCAGACTAGTTATTTATGAATAATAACTAGGGGTGTAAATCAAACCCATCATGGCGATTAGATTCAGTATCGATTTCCTGACCCAACAATTCGATTATTTTCGATACTCAAGAATACACCACGATTCGATTTGATTAATCGATTAATTATTAATATTTTTATATTTTTTTTAGACCTTACAGGCTAAACAAAGTTTCAAGTTTGAAATACATCAATGAAAGCTGTAATATCATTATGCATTTTTTTTTTTTTTTAGAAACAACAGCAAATAACAGAAGTAAAAAAGTTGCATCAAAAAATACTGCACTAAATCAGTGCAAT